TATCTATCTTATCTATCTATCTATCTATCTGTCTTATCTATCTTATCTATCTATCTATCTATCTATCTATCTAGCTGTCTCTTTAATCGGAGGACATCAGCATTTAAATCATAAATGTGCCCCTGGTGATCATCATTACATGTCTATCATGTCTCAGGAGCGAATGAGGAAACTGCTGAAGGTTTACGAGTTGTTAGGAGGAGAAGAAGACATTGTCAACCCAACCAATGAGCTGGTCAAAGAAGGGCACATCCTAAAACTGTCCAACAAGAACGGAACCACGCAGGACCGATATCTTATTCTGGTCTGTCTGTACATCTGTCTGTTTACTTTCACAGTCGTTAAGGCAGAGATTACTATTTGTTTGCTGTTATTTGTTGTGGTTATTGGTGCTTGTTTTCACCACTGTTTGAACCAGCCCGAGAAGGCTAAAACCTACATCAGCCTAAGTCTATGATACCTTACAATACCCTCACTGCTTTATATCACTGCTGGAACTAAAACTAAGACTCAAGGAGGTTACATGTCAGGGAATAATACTACCAATTAGATACAATAAAAATCACTGTGTCTTTTTGTCCAGAGGAACTAGCAAAAACTCACTATGACGATGACAAAAACTGTGAGTATTCATCCCAAGGATCGGAAAACAAAGCAATGTATTGATGGACCATTTGAAGGAACTTGTTTGAGAGGGACTAGAGGGGCCAAAAGACTACTCAAGTTTTACCAAATATATCTATATAAATATATTAATCTCTATCTGTTAATGTGTAACACAACACTATAACGGTATCTCATAATCTACAGTTAATCAAAATATGAACTGTCCCTTTGATCATGCGACCTGTGTCTCTACAGTTCAATGACCGCCTGCTTTACTGCGTCCCAAAGCTGCGTCTGATTGGTCAAAAGTATGGTGTCCGTGCTCGAATTGACGTCGATGGCATGGAGGTACGATGAGACTGATCAATCACATCATTGTCCTGTGTGTACACTCTTGCAGCTAACCCAGGGGTGGGCAACCTTTTTAGCATTTGTTTTTTGCCATCTTTTGGGCAAATGTAGGTATTGCTAATAAATGCTAATAAATTATATAATTTGGAAAAGTTTGGCTCGGGTCGGATTAAAAAGCTGAACGGGCCGCTTTCGGCTCCTGGGCCTTAGTTTGCCCATGCCTGATCTAACCCTAACCCCCGTCCATTTCTGTGACCTCCAGCTGAAGGAGACAAGTAGCGCAGCCATTCCTAGAACCTTCCTGGTGTTGGGAAAACAGCGATCCATTGAACTCCAGGCCAGGTATACACTGTGATATTACGACAGGTCTCATGACATCACTATGGCATCATGACACTAAGTCTGTCTTTGTCTTTGCAGGACAGAGGAGGAAAAGAAAGACTGGATCCAGGTATGAGCTCAGTCTGGTCCAACAGGTCTTCTGTTTTTGTTTTTTAACGTCATTACTACTTTGTTGTGAGATTAGATGCAAATGTTTAAAAAATATTGTCTTTTTCTCTCAAGTTTGGCCATATTTGATCTGAATTCAGACTGTGATTACACACTTTTCAACATGTTTTAGATGCTGTATTTTCCAGACTATAAGTCAAACTCTTTTTCATCCTTTGGCTGTCTTTGTGACTTACTCAGATGCAACTTATATATTAAAATATATAATTTCAGACATTTGTCTTTTCACACTGACAGCCGCTAGAGGGCACTCTAGGCTTGGGTACCATTATCTACTACTCCTGTACCACTGGCAATTAACGCTTGTTATTTAATATCCGTGTTCGTTATTTTCACACTGATAGCCGCTAGAGGGCACTCTAGGCTTGGGTACCATTATCTACTACTCCTGTACCACTGGCAATTAACGCTTGTTATTTAATATCCGTGTTCGTTATTTTCAAACTGATAGCCGCTAGAGGGCACTGTAGGCTTGTGTACCATTATCTGCTACTCTTGTACCACTGGAAATTCACGTTTGTTATTTAATATCCGTGTTCGTTATTTTCAAACTGATAGCCGCTAGAGGGCACTGTAGGCTTGTGTACCATTATCTGCTACTCTTGTACCACTGGAAATTCACGTTTGTTATTTAATTTCCATGTTCGTTATTTTCATACTGATAGCCGCTAGAGGGCACTGTAGGCTTGTGTACCATTATCTGCTACTCTTGTACCACTGGAAATTCACGTTTGTTATTTAATTTCCATGTTCGTTATTTTCACACTGACAGCCGCTAGAGGGCACTCTAGGCTTGTCTACCATTATCTACTACTCCTGTACCACTGGCAATTAACGCTTGTTATTTAATATCCGTGTTCGTTATTTTCACACTGATAGCCGCTAGAGGGCACTCTAGGCTTGTGTACCATTATCTACTACTCCTGTACCACTGGAAATTCACGTTTGTTATTTAATATCCGTGTTCGTTATTTTCACACTGATAGCCGCTAGAGGGCACTGTAGGCTTGTGTACCATTATCTGCTACTCCTGTACCACTTAAAATTACATGTTTGTTATTTTCACTAACACTGCTAGAGGGCACTGGTGCGACTTATGCTCTGGAGCAACCTACATATGTTTTTTTCTTATTCATTATGCATCTTTTTGCGAGTGCGATTTATAATCTGGAGCGACTATAGTCTGGAAAATACGATACTTCTCTGAAATCATCTGATGTGTTTTTGTGTGTGTGTGTGCATATTCACAGGCCATCCAGACAACCATTCAGAGACATGAACAGACAATGGAGAGCTTTAGATATTTGAACTGTTCAGTACGTGACGAAGAATCCACACCTCCTCACTCCCCGGTAACTTCAAACACACGTGCATGTAGACACACATGTTTGAGCACACAAAAACATGCCTTTTGAACCTGTCTCCCCCCCAACAGAGCTGTGCAGAGTTGGGAAAACGAGCTCCGACACCGATTAGAGAAAATGAGGTGACCCTCTGTATGAAGTGTCAGGAACCGTTTAATTCCATAACCAAGAGACGACACCACTGTAAAGCCTGTGGCCACGTATGTTGGATTTTGTTGTTGGAATAAAAACCTTTGTGTCATTGCATACAGTACAATGAAGATCAGTTACACTATATGACCAAAAGTATTGGCTCACCTGCCTTGACTCCTACTATGAACTGAAGTGCCATCCCATTCCTAACCCAGAGTTCAATATGATGTCGGTCCACCTTT